TTGGTATTGTGGCTACCGATTAGGGTGTGTTAGTTGTTGAGGTGCATGTTAGAACTGCTGGTTTACTGTAGCCGATGCTCGAGTGGATTGTCCTGATCGATCACACTAGCTACATGTTCGGACAACAAATTGGCTAAGTAGTTGGGTCACGATTGTTTCAAACCTGCTCGATCTCCTTAAGGTCATGTGCCGAAATTTAATATAAATTGGCTGTCCCTGGTCCCGTATGTAGACTTCTACAAGTCATTTCTGCTTTTGAAAATGCAGAGACTTCGCCTTTTTTAAAAGCACTTCTTTTTTGCTCATTGCAATAACACCTTAAGGCAACCTTTTGAAAAAATAAAAGATTAGTACCTTTTTTGGCTAGAATTTGCCATTGAGAATTATAATATACTTACAGGCAAAGCTGCATAAATTTGTTAATTGCATAAATAGTTATCAGTCATCGCGTACTGCTGTAAATAACCAGATATTTTGTCAACAATAGTATTGTCGAGAGAGTGTCATATCTCAAGGAAACCAACATTAATACCTGCAAAGAATAGACATTTAAAGCAGCTATGTTTGTGCAAAGGACAGGCAAGCCGAACCCACAAATAGAACTATTCGAAACCCTGTAAAGTGACTTTCTAAACAGTAAAGGTTTTGACAGTAAACAGCACAAGCGGTGAATGGTAAACGGTAAATGCAGACAGCAAATATGAAGGTTAACCGCATTGTACACTTCAAACAGCATTCAATATGACTGCCGCCTGTTCAGGGAGCAAATTGTAAGGTAGAATTATTAGGAACCAGAATTATAACAATGCTGCACAACGCATGTTTAAATGCTGAACAAAACTTTTGACCTAGATGGCCGTTTAACAATCTTAGACCTCCTCTTTATCAATTGTTGTCTCGACATTGAACTTCATGCGAGGAGTACGTACTCCTCTGCTCGACCAGCTATCACCAAAATTAATTCTTCTAAAACTGGCATACTTTTGAAAATGCTTGTCTCCACACGGACGACTTTAAAGCTAGGCCACCAAATCGTATAAAACACAAATTATATGGTAATGTATCTATGATTGTTATACTAAATCATTTCACTGTGATTCTCTAGAATTGGATTCCATTAGCCACACTAAGCCTTATGGAAGCATTATTAGGCTAAATTTTCATGCGTGTTGCCTATCATAACTATTTAAGACTAAAATTTATTGGGCACTAATAAAAGAGTTTGATATTGGGTACACTGATTTCTATTACGCAAAGTGCATGGACATGAATATCACAAATTGTATAATTCTTTAGTTAGGCTTAGATTCAACTTAAAGATAACCTAAATAACGTTCAAATAAGCCTACTTGCTGAACCAAAAACATGCTCCGTAGTTATTATTAAATATCACATAGAAAAAGGGCACCATACAAAAAGTCAAAATACATTCATCTATGAATAGCATATTCGCATCTGTGGCATTGACTTTGAAATTTCGCTAACGAATAAAGGGTAGGATGAATTTACTTTAAATGCGCCTTTCCACATTTAACAAATTATTCTTGACTCAAGGAAAAGGCGTTGAGTGAACCTATGCCTGCATTTCCAAGAGTTTAGCACAATAAAGTGATTTTGCTTCTTCCGGTAAATGTTTCAAATTTCCATTTACGTATTTTTGTTGGAAGCACATTTACTATTGAGAAGAAGCATACAGCAAGTCACGTGAAGTGAATCAACATGGACCAAATCTAACCTCTTTATGACCTGAAAATCTTGTTTGATTTTTTCTGACTTTTTACGAATGTTCTTATTAAGTAGTAATTTATGAAGTCAATCTTTTTTTAGATGGGCTATAGATTTGAGTAGTCTTAAATCTCTGTATCACAATGCTTAGCAGTTGCTTGAAAACAGGCATACCATTTATGCATTTACGAAGCCCAAATTTAATTGTCAATGCAAAGCTAATTATGAAGAGACTTGCAAGATTCCACGTCACAAAAATTTGACGCTGTCCCTGCTTTAAAAACCAAACCAGCTTGGTCTAACACAGAAGAATGCCATTTGTCAAGAAGTCTTTTTGTTCTATTTATGGCTAACTATACGTAAATAGAAGTTGTTTTGTATTTAAAATCTATACTAAAAGGCTATACTTGCAACAACTTGTTACAAAGTGGTGAAATCCGTATTTCCTTTAGCAAACCGCAGTGTCCTGATTATTAAATTATAGATGAAATCAGTCTGGACACACATGATTAATTCACTGTAACACTTAGCGTCCGCATCCAAACAACCCACAGAACTTTCTTCCCATCAAGCTGATATTGCTCAGAAACGTTGAGTCGTCAAAATGAATAAAAGGGGAATTACTCGTAAGCTTGGAATTATGTAAAGCACATTGCACCTTTTCGAGGCGTATGTAGTGTAATAAACTAGAAAACGGATTAAGCGTGAGCAAAACGACTACTTGACACACAAAATGCTTCGAGGGGTTATGTAGTTGATGTGATTAATTAAAAATGCTCTGTGTACCAGTGTTTGCAAGTCTTGTATCCGGTATATACTTCACTGATTCCATACAAGCAATGGATACTTAGAGATTCCCTTTTAGGGCAAACATCTAACACAAGGGACCGGTAAAAAGTCTTAGCTGTCACAAAAATACTTTAATCATTACATTCAGGCTCTAGTTTAGAAAAGAAATGCCTACACATCATCGATAGTTTATGCTGTCCTTTAAAACGTATACATACAACCCTGTAATGGGTGTATGCAATGATGCTTTCTTGAGAAGTACGTTTTTAGATTATTTCTGATTCAATTCTAAAAATGATTTAAAGTTCTACTAATTGTTTACGATAAAGCTCATTTAATTTGTTGTGTAAGGTCCATGGATGACATTACTTATTTCACTACTATATTTCACTGCTATATACATTTGGGGTGTTATCACTACAGGATTTCTAGTTATTATGATTTTTTTGCTTCATTTTAGATGCATTTTTTGAAAATCTTATGAACAATTTTTAAGTCAAGGCCTTCACTGAAAGTACTCATTGGTTGCTGAAAGGAGCAAACAAGAGGTGGATTATTTTGATAAGTAGATTTGAAAGTATCTGCAAAACGTAACCTACCCTGGTTCATTTGGAAACTCCTCTTCCTCTTCGCCTTCCTCGTCCATCACTGGCAAATTTGAGACACTGTCTTCAAGTTGATTAGGTTGTTCCCCTTCGAAGCCTATTTCAATGACCTCCATGTTGCTTGCACTAGAGTTGCAGTTTGGGTTGGTGGGTGAAGTGCATCTGGCATCGCTTGAGGGATAGTTGTTCTGCTCGACTTTCGTTCCAACTAAGGAGGCCATGCTTACATCTGGAGGAGGGCTAGTTTTTGTGCTAGCGAAATTTGAATTTATACCCATCTGGTAAAGGATGGTAATTGTAAAAAGGCCTCAAAAGCGGTGATGATGTTAATATTACAAACTCTGCCCTGCGTTGACTCACGTGTGTTTGTGTCTCAAAACCATGTGACGTTATTGGGTGGGCGGGCAAGTGGGAAATTGCAATTTGCCTGCTGCCCGTTAACCAATCGTGTAGTTCTCGTCGGGAGAAGCAAGAATAGCGCGTGCGTGCGCGCAGTGTTTGGATGACATATCGACCGCTAAGGCACCACTTTTTGATTTTGCTTCGGAATTCCAGGGTGCTGAAGCCTTGTTTTAGGCGTTGTGTCTCGTCATCTGTTCAAATTTTGGACGTGCTATTTCTAATTTGGCGACTAAGTGTACCCTACTTACTTCACTGTCCATTATTAGTGCTGATCAGCGCCAAACATTTTTATCCTGGGGAATTACTATTTTTTTAATTACATTTTTTCAAATTGGTGAATTCACTTCACAAGCTTTAGCCGAAGAGATTACTATGGAGGACACAGTCGACATTTATTTTAACCAGATCAAAACGGCAGTTTTGAGCTTTTCACTCGATGTAAATAACCAATAATTTTAGGTTCCTTAAATCAATAACTGAAATGATTTAACCAAAGAGTGCACTGACGATAGGAAGGTTTTTGAATTAGCATTCACTGTATACTGTCTGTGAGCACTGATGTATCTGTCCAAAAAAGTGATCAGACGCATCAAGTGCCTTAGTTACTGTAGTGTTTATGTCAGTGGAAGCAGCCTATTTTTTCATAACCCATTGTGAGACTTTATTATGCAGTCTTATTGTACACACTTTAAAAAAAGATTAAAATTAAGCCACTGTGTCAGCCATCTTTATAGCCCTGAATGGTTATGGTATTCTCTAGAGCATAATTAACATCTAGCAAACGGTTGTGAATAGTTTTTCTGACAGAAGGATTTCAAATACGCTTTTATTTGTCCTAGGTGTTTGCGACTCGCTCTACACACGTCCGAGACACAGCAACAAAATTCGAAAGGTTATCTAAAACATTATTCACACTAATTTATAATATTTGTTACCTTTATTCGCGTTACTTGACCAAAATGTGAAAAAAAAACATTAGAATGCTGTCACGTTTACGAAAATAGCAAATGCAGTTTACAACATTACCATTTGTTAACTTAGTACAACACTTGTCGTTGTGAGATTCGGAAGAAAATATCTTTGGGAATTAATACATTTATCATGTAAGCTTTTAAAACAAAATTACATGTTTGTCCAATTATGTGACTCCATAGTTGAAATAATCATAGATTTAGACGCGGATTTTTTAACAATGCTGAATAAGAGTGAGTTTGTGAATTTGTAAGGACAGCGAAAAGCAAGTTGACGCGTTTGTATTCATAAAAAGTACTTGAAACATGTAGAAACTTGACCTGTATAATTATTTTCAGGTTTCTGATTGTAAATAAAGTTTGCAGTGTCGTATTTAGCCGCACAGCTCTCAGAACCATCGCATAACTGTTATGCAGCAGACTCCAATTAAGGCCAAATATTTCAGGGTATATAAGGTGCTCGGTTTGTTTTAAATGTAACTCTGAAACATCTGAAAGGGTTTTAGTAGAATCCCCAAAGAAACAATGTATGTAAGTGAGGTATGTTTTGAGAGAAACTACGGCTTATATATTTTGAAAATATAAGTATAGGGATTTCTTAAGCAATGTGACAAGGCTTTAAGCAGAATTCAGAATTTTTTTCCAAAACTTGGTTATATCTTTACGTCTAGACATGTACCTGCAATCGTTCATACTGCTTCTGCCTGAAATGATGCATCCACAACTAACCATAATTCTTTTTACAGAATTAAAACAATCTCGGACGATCTCACAGCACAAATGGATTGAAACTGTACGTCGGTCTTTAGCAAAGTGGAATTGGGAAGTCAATTATCTAAGTATTGCATGTAGATAAGTCATTTAATCGACTGAGCAGTCAGTTTCAATAATGAAATATCTCAGGAAAACATGGTTGGATTGGATTCAAACTTGTGTTTATAATTTGAGAATCTTATGAATTTGCAAAGAAGTTGACGAAAAAGGTATATGACAAATGAGCACCTTTAAGTTTTGTGAATTTTAAGTGGAATAACAATATCTGACACACCTACAGGGCAAAAATATCAAAGTGATATATCAGCAATTTTTTTAAAAAAATGAAAGGCTTAAAAGTGGTCGAAATTTGGTGCTGTAAGCAGCAATTAACCCTGAAAACTGGTATAAATATGCGACTTAGTTTCAGTCAAGATGCTTAATTTATGAAAGACAAACTGTCAAAACAATCGAAATTATTTATGGCTACCGCGTGAAAGAAATAGCAAGCACAAATTTATTGCCATATTCACAAGCACACAACAATTTATTCAGTGAAGGTGTAGCTACTATCCGTTTAGTTTGGACGTCAAGTGTCATTTAAGAATAATTAATCAGAATACAAAAGTAAATAGTAGGCCAATTGACATTTGACGGCAAAGGCAAAGCATTATCAATCAGTTGCGACTAGAACGGTCTGAAATTGTTTCAAAACTTAGTTTCTCAAATATAAACAAAATCTGGTTTTTAAAAAATGATAGAGGCTGCCGGAAGATGCTATGCATTCGAAGTTAACAAAAAACTTCACCAACATTTCAGCATATGAAGGCGCAAATGTGAATGTACGTGATAAACAAAATTACAGTAACTTAAGTGGGTAAACACAAACGAAATTCGGATATTAGATTCAATGAATCTAATTTGGCAGTAAACAAAAATTTGTTTTGAATACTCTTTTCCTATATTTATGGGTGCTACATTAAGAAATTTGACTTTCAACTGAGGTTGAACTTTATGAACAATTAATGCTAATCATGAAGGGTTTTAGCAAAAAATAGGAATATAATGCTAGCCTTGCACCAACCTGGAGTTTCGTCCTTACAAGTACAACTGCATTTTTTTATTGAAAATTATTAAGTTTGGCATAGTTGGTGACAAATGTGAAATTAGGATACTTCGAGCAATTTATTTTGCGCATTTGTGCTTTTTGAGCTTGTTTGGTCAAGGGCTTATTATTCGAGTGCTTGTGGCGAATTCCTGA